CCATTGGATCAACTCTATCATAAGAGCTTATCAAGGTTCATGGCCAAGAAGTTCTTAGGTGATTTGACCAATATTATTTTGTGTACAGGAAAGTAGGAACTAGTTTGTGATGTATATCATATTGACAAATACAAATTGACTAGCAACCAGAGAACTCAAGCACAAACTTCAACTGCATATGGAAACTTCAAAAATTTTGAACTCCAGAATGAGAGATAGCTAAACTTTGAATGTAAATCTCATTACAACATTCATCAGTCTACTCAGGATCAGTAAACAGTAGCCAAAGTGAAGCCGCAAACGATGCACATTCACTAAAATAAACTTATCCAATTCTAGAATAACATTTCTTGCAAAAATAATATTATAAAAAATGTCTACACTATCATCAATCCTTATCATTGGAAACCAAGAGTAGAAAATTGATTTCTCGTTATTCCCAGCCAGCAGCAGCAGGGGGAGCATCATGGCTAACCTGTGCGGAAACAACATCATGGCTAACCTGTGGGGGAACAACATCATGGCTAACCTGTGGGGGAACAACATCATGGCTAACCTGTGCGGGAACGACAGCATCCCAACCATCAGCTGCCACTGGAACTGCAATCGAAATATAGTAACCCATGAACATCAGATAAGGAAAAGAGATACAAAAATAAAACAAATTATTAGAACTCCTAAACAACTAATAAGAATTTTCTACTAGCTCCAAACATAGTAAATGTTGGACCAAGTAATCATGGATAATTGTTGCCTTCCTTCAGCATATCACACAATCAAACTGCAAGAGTAGTATTTTATTTTCAATGAGTGCAGGGGACAGCAAGGCTACAGGAACAAAGATTTATGAAATCATAGTTAAACTATCAATCATTCAGAGACAAGATCTATAAAAAAATTCCTTACCTTGTTCACTCCAGTTGGTACTGGGAACAGCTGCAATTGGAGGGTGAACAGCATCAGCTGTCCATTGACCTTCAGTAATCTGGCCACTCCATTGATCACCAATAACAGGCATTCCATAATCAGGAGCAGAAAGTCCAAAATCAGTCTGTGGAACAGCTTCCTCTTCATCCTGTTGTTTAGCCTCTTCTGGCTCCCTATAGAAAAATAGGTCCACCTAAATGGAATTGTCGAGACAGAAAGCGTCAATTTCCAGACAATAATTAATATGCCCGCTAACACACAAATAATATTTCAACAGTAACATTTTACTTACCATTACATCCCATCTCTGACCAGGGCGAATTGTACCACGCATCTGTAGCACCATCCTTGCTAACAACCAAAAGAGGCATCCTATAGAATGCTTCCCCTTATTATTTGCCGGAATACCAATGTCAACATAAGACATTGGAGAATCAGTATCACAAAAAGCAATAGTTGGGATATTTCCCAGCGCTGCTTCCTTTATAGGCTGCAAGTAGTTAACATCAAAGGTTGAGTATTGGCATGCAAATTTGAATCCATAAGAAACATACCACATAGGAGAAAAAGACAACATATGAATAATAAAAGCATAATGTACCTGATGATCAGTCCTTGGATCAGTTAGGATGAGCAGACGAGGCTCGCTGAAGGAAGTTTGCAACTGATTGGTAAAAGTACCAGGAGTATGACGCCCTGCAATTGCATGAGCCCCTGTGTATTGTGCAAACTTCAATACAGCTCTCTGACCATAAGGTCTTGCAGACTGGACAATGATGTCCTGTGGATTTTCAATTGCAACAATAACTCTTGCAGCAAGCATTAGTTTTTCCCAGGTCTTCCCCAAATTTATAATGTAAATACCTGTGAGTTAAAAAAAAAAAAAACTGAAAAAATTGCTCCAGGAAGAGAACTAGATAAGACAATGCTGCATTGTTGTACCAAATCAGAAGCTAACCAAGAGAAATTCAGTAGCTACAAAGCACTTCAAAAACATCTCATGCATAAAGAAAAATAACATTCTGCAGTAACATCTCATGGAACAAAAGATATATCATCACATTACTATTCAGGAAACATGCATGTTAGAACTGATAAAATTCCGTTCGGTTTACAACTGTGAATGGTTCTGAGTAAAATCTACAGCCACAAATTTACAAATCATGGCTAGAAACTTTTAGACACTTACCAGTCGCGTCAACTGATCTTCAAACCCAAAAACAATTCCAAGTATATAATAAGATAGATGCTAGAACCAACAAGAATCATAAATATTCAGTATTCATAAATCTTCGAACAGTATCAGCCAAGCCCCGCTTAACTAAAAATAGCAGCAGGTAAAAGATCTACTGTAAAGACTAAATGCATAATCCAAGAGTCCTCTATTCAATTCCTTAACGTACACGAAAAATCAGACTGCAATTTTCCAATACTAAGGAAAGCCAAGGAGCACTTAAATACTTGAGCAAATACAAATATCAAGAGGTACTCAAATACACCCACTAACAATCGCTGCCTTTTACAAGAGACAAGGGAATATAAGGGGATACCGTCATTTCGTCGCTTGAAGACATATCGCTCCATCTGAAAATCACAGTTCTTGGTTCCCAGATGAACCTCAGCGGCCAACATCATCTGAATGTCGGCTTCCTTTTGAGACAGCTGCCTCGTTCCCGTAGTAGTGGGGGTCGCCATGGTTCGGTGAAGGTTGAAACCTCCGCGGCTTGAGAGATTAAGGAAAAAGGAGGAGAATTTCTAGGTTTGCCTGCCGCTGAGTTGGTGAAGAAGAAGGACGCGAGTGTTGATTAGGGTTTAAGAGAGAACAAGCTAATGGGCTTTTCAGTGGTTTATGGGCTTTCAAAATAATAATGGGCCGAAAACGGATCGATATAAAAATCGGTAATTGATTTTTATATAATTTATTAAATTACTAAATTACCCTAATTATATTATATTAATATATACATATATATTGCTTTATATTTAAATATTTTCTACGTAATTAGAACTGTTCTGATTAATTAAAACTATCAAATATGAACAGTCCCCTACTGTAAATATAAGTTCATATTCTTTATACATATAACTGAAAATTGAATACTTAAATGAACTGTTCTAATTTTTTTGAAAATACAAAACTCAAAGTTCTATTGATATATTGAATCGGATAAATCAGGCTATATCCATAAACGATTCTAATTCAGATATTATATTCGAATTCGGATTCAGATAAATCAACAGTATTTATCTTCTACTTAAATTCGAATACATATTCATCTATAAATCAATAGTAATTATCTTCGTCCGCTCTGTAATTCTGTGTCTGCTCTCTTACTACTGTTCCCGTCTTCCAGAGTTTCCTCTCAAACGTCAAAGATGGCAGGAGGAGGAATTGCCGGAGCTCCCGGAGTTGGCAAAAATTACCCTGGAAAACTCACCGCCAAGGTTCTTACGACATGCATTGTTGCTGCTTTCGGCGGTTTGATCTTCGGCTATGATCTTGGAATTTCAGGTCTGTTCTTCAACTTCTATATATTTAACGTACGTGCATGCATGCACCAATCTTTATATATATATAGTTATGTTACAGTGTTTTTCTTCTTGAGTTTTTTGATTTATTGTGACTGATGTGTGAAATTAGGTGGTGTAACCTCCATGGATTCTTTCCTGAGTCAGTTTTTCCCATCGGTTTATGCAAAGGAGTCTTCGGTGACAGCATCCGATGACCAGTACTGCAAATTTGACAGTGAAAAGCTGACATTCTTTACTTCGTCGCTGTATATTGCGGCTCTGGCTTCATCTATTGTCGCGTCGAGCATAACCCGAAAGATGGGAAGGAGAGTGACGATGATGCTCGGAGGATTATTGTTCTTCATCGGAGCAATTATCAACGCCGCCGCTAATCATGTCTGGATGCTTTATTTCGGCCGTATCTTGCTTGGTTTTGGCATTGGATGTGCCAATCAGGTATGACATATTTATTTATACCTACTATTCAAACCTTCGGAAAAGCTCTACTGCTTTAGCTCATATTTGCGTTATATGTATTTGTTACAGTCTGTGCCGATTTACGTGTCTGAGATGGCACCATACAAGTACAGAGGAGCTCTGAATATAATGTTTCAGATGTCGATTACAATTGGGATTCTAGTGGCCAACTTGCTGAACTATTTCTTTGCCAAGATTCCTGGCGGTTGGGGCTGGCGATTGAGTTTAGGCGGCGCTTTCGTCCCTGCTCTCATCATCCTCGTCGGCTCTTTCTTCCTCTCCGAAACACCCAACTCCTTGATCGAGCGCGAGAAATATGACGAGGCTAAGGAATTTCTTCTCAAAATCCGTGGCGTCGACAATGTCGATGAGGAGTTCAATGACCTTGTCGCCGCCAGTGAGGCGTCCAGGAAAGTTAAGCATCCATGGGCCAATATAACAAAGAGACAGTACAGACCGCAGCTCACCATGGCTATTTTCATCCCCTTATTCCAGCAACTTACAGGAATGAATGTGTTTGTTTTTTATGCCCCTGTTCTTTTCAAGACTATGGGTTTTGGAGCCAATGCCTCGCTCATGTCCGCTCTGATTACCAGTATCGTAAATATGGTAGCAACGTTGGTATCTATTTTTAGTGTGGACAAATATGGAAGAAGAACTCTTTTCCTTGAAGGTGGAATTCAAATGTTCATCTGCCAGGTAAATTTACATAACCAGTCAGAAAAAAAATTGTTTTTCCAATCTGGGCAATCCTCAAATCTTGCTTTTTGTTTGAAATTTCTACAGATGGTGATGACAGTCGCCATTGCAGTCAAGTTCGGAACCACTGGCAACCCTGGAGTCCTGCCTCAGTGGTATGCTACACTTGTAGTCGTAGCCATGTGCATTTACATCGCCGGTTTTGCCTGGTCATGGGGGCCTCTGGGTTGGCTCGTGCCGAGTGAAATATTCCCTCTCGAGATCAGGTCTGCGGCACAGAGTATCAACGTGTCAGTCAACATGTTGCTGACTTTCGTCGTCGCGCAAGTCTTCACCGCCATGCTCTGCCACATGAAGTTCGGTCTATTCATCTTCTTCTCTGTGTGGGTGGTGATCATGACTATTTTCATCCACAAGCTCTTGCCGGAGACGAAAGGAGTGCCGATTGAGGAGATGAATATTGTCTGGCAAAAGCACCCTTTCTGGCGTAAATACGTGAAGCCTGCCGAGGATAGAGATGAATGCGAGATGGGCGGCAAGACACCTTCTGTTTGAATATATATAAGGGTTTCTGTCGATTAGGTTTCTTCTCTTTTTTGAATTTTGGGTATTGGTTTTTTAGTTTGTTGATAAATTTTGATTTAGTGTTACATTACATTTAATTACAAAGCATTAATCTTTTTCAGTTTGATTCAAAATTTGTTTACTAGTTTAAACTGGAATAGTAGTAGAGGCTTTTATTTGAATTGGGTCTTAATGGTTCCATACCAATCATGATAATTTTCTCGTAGTTGTGTAGATTTTATTATATCATGACTGATATATATATATATATATGTGTGTGTCTGTGTGCTATGTAATTAATTAATGAATATACAAAACTTCATTAAAGAAAATATATACCACAACCATTCATTACACTTTGTTTTAGTTCTCCAAAGCTTGTGTATAACAACCTACCCCGCCTTGAACCATATAAACTGTTACAAATAGCTTAAACCAGAACCATTCGTGTCTGTGTCCTGCAGAGCTTCTGTAATTATACATACCGAATAAGCTCAACAGCAAACTTTCCCTTCTTGGTAGAATTTATTTCTCCAATCTAAGAAAATGGATACAAAATCTTAGGCTAAATATATCAAATTTTTAAAATGGTGTTTCATATGAATCCGATTACTCACTTACCTTTAGCCTTCCTTTCCCGCTGACAGAGACGATATCCCCGGTCTTGAGTATGGTTCCATTTTTTGTAATAGTGGTCCAGTTAACACGTACATCCCCATTGCTAGAAGAACAAAAAGTTTAGCTTATATATACTAACCTGAGGAGCATGTTATGTCGGTGCTAAGTTGTTGAGTCCAGGTAAAAATATTAACTTGATCCGACTAAAGCGCTGATCACAGACGCTAACAAGTATTTGAAAAGTTAAGGGTTGATACACATCAACAAGTATTTTGAAATTTGCTTGAAGGGCAAAAAAGTTTTCACGAGTCAATCTGAGGAGAGTCAAAAAAAAATCAATAAGAAGTCAGCAGTAAGATGACCATTTTTTAAACCCATGCCTCCCAACAGATTGAATGGGTTCATAAAGCAACAGCTGCAAAATGTTTTTTGTCGTTGTCTCGGAGGACAAGATGTGTCATAACAACCAATGTCAAAGACGTTGAACTCAAATTGGAAAAGAAGAAGTTTGTAGGAAAGTGGTTTCTATCTTTAGAAGAAAGAGAGTTATAGTGCTCGAGGGCTTCAAAACTAATAAATTGAGCTTATCTATTGAGTGTTTAACGCAAATCACTAAATTACGCATGTTTCTTGAATGAATCATTGCCAGAATCACTCCTAAAAGACTGAAGTTAATAACATAGGAAGCAGTAGACATGCTAAACAAGTAATGAAATCTGAAAAGGCGGACACTAATGTACCATGTACCTGATTAAACCAACTAGTTTTGACCGTGAAATTTTAAATCCTGCACTAGCCAGAGCATCAACTCTAAGTGATGCCTCTACAGTCTTGAAAGACTTGGTCCTGAAAAACACAAGGATGACCTTCAAGTCATTACCGATACCAGAATGGAGAAGTGTACAAGAAGCTAGAGAAAATAAATTGCCGATGTAACAACATGTACCTTGGTGGTTCATATTCAAGAGCAGATAAGGGTATCTTTGTACAAGAGACACGAACTTTACCAACCTGTGATAGAAAAAGTCCAGAAGAGGACACGGAAATTAGCAGAGTTATACGAGAAGCAATTAAACCAAGCGACTTACAGCAGTTAGTAATTTCCTGCCCCTGTTTTATCAGCATATTACCTTATTAAGGTAAGCAATTTTGAGGTTTATGGTTGTTTGTTCATCCAAATTTCAGTTGCATCTTACAGCAGAAAATTCTAAATGAACCAAAAGTCTAGAGAAAAGAAGGTATCTTTCTGGTCGAATAATGTTAGTAATTCAATGAAAACAATAAGATGTAGTAAATCTAAGCCGAGTTCAAATTGGAGGGCTCAAAGTAACAAGGAATCTTTAGAAAGTATCTTTGATAAAGAAAAAAAAGAATTTGAATGCATAGAAAAGAAATTATTACCTTGTCCAGAGATGATATCAGAAAATCGACAAGTTCTGGAACAATCAGGATCTGAGCTCCCTTCTCCTCCTGGACAACCAACAAGAATAAAAATAGGAGTAAAAGGAGGCCACGGATAGCTAAATATCAAGAAAGCAGTAAAATGCCCATTGGACAGTAGAAAGAAATGAAATCTTCTAATTCCTGAGTAATGGACTATCAAACCCACTTTCATATTTGATTATACAAAGTGCAGAGCATTAAAAATCTCCCAGTCACTGGCAGCTGGCAGAGCAAATTTCCAACCACTCAAACAGACTTCTTTGGGCAGGAAAAGAAGTATACTTGATAATTTCTACTATAAAAATTAGTTCAGTGTTTATAGAAATACATAATTACATAATGGTTTTCTTTTACTTCCATTGAGAGAGGAAGTTTCTGGAACAGGCGAAGGAATATAAGGAGAAGAAAGCATAGAAAAAAAAAAAGTGTGATATCACTACAAGAAGTGAGTAGTGTTGAAATTAACCTAGGGTTTATGGATGGTAAGAGAGTATGCGCCGACTTAGCATCTTCACACTGAAATTTTGGACCTGATGAATTCCTTTGAAGGTGATTTTTTTATTTTGATGTGTGGGCATTGAAGAAAATTAAACTTGAATTTTTAGTGAAAATTTGTTAGACAGTAGTATTTCAACCCGGGCATACAGAAAAGCTCTTCCATAAACTGTTTGTGTTCATTAAGTAGTTAAACAATATATTGGATTCGACGTACAAACATTTCCTCCCTAATTTTTATACATCAACAATCCTTCAAATATCTGGAAACACAAACTTCTTACCAACAAAAGCTAAGCAGTAGAACTATGCGTACATGATACCTGCAAGATAATATCTCCAAGCTTTTCCCTAGCAATCCCTGTACCAAGAATTGCTCCAAGGAAGTCACCATGAGAACAAGGTTCAAATCTGAAGTTCCCTGCAATACTGGAAAATGAGAAGGAGACATTCAGAGATCTATAAAGAAAAACTTCACCAGACTTAGATATGCAGGATTCTGAAGTAGTTTAAAAAGGTGAAGCAAAAATATGATTTACCTCAAGGCTGAAACTATATCAGGATCACTAGTCAATACGTCTGAGTGTCCAACAGAAATCCTGCAGCGCTCAGCCTACAGGATTTCAAATTATAAAAATTAACCTAAACTTAAATGCATTTGCATCCGTACAAAATGAACAAGGAGTTAGTTATCTTAACCTGAGGATATCCTCCCTGAGCAATTGCTTCCGCATCAGCTACCTTACCCAAAAGTAGCAGCGACTCCTTCAAAACTGGTGGGGTGAGAAAATCTGCATGGAGAACTTCTTTTCTTGATATGGCCCGTTTGGCCTGCACGAGGTACATGGAAATCACCAATGGAAGCATGGGTAGGAGAGGATAGCGAGAAAAGGAGAAGAAGGGCAACATAGCAGAAGGGTAACAAGAATACCATCTCAAGAATATGCTTTACTTCTTCAGCTGTACTTTGGTCTCTCACTCCCTGAAGTAAAATGTCAACATCTCCTTTAATGGCCTGTGGTAAGTGACATATTCCTGAAGCTGTAATACAGGAGTATCAATAGCAAAAATGCTAAATGGTTCGTTTAATGAAATTAAGATTCTGTTGGTGCAACAAAATCTGTATCTCTTTGCCTTTTTATTTTTATTGTTACCATCATTTGTGCACCTTTATCCACTAGCAACTATTGAAGCTCAATCAAACCAATGCAGTTCATGAAACTTGAGCATGTCTATTACGTTGAACAAACCTGAACTGTCTTTTTAGCGAGCTAAGCATGAAGAGCTTAGTTCATTCAATAGCCTTGACTCAATCAACAATAAATGTGAAGGAGCTACGAGCAATGAATGCTCCTACTGGAGAAGCAGAACTGAGAAGTTCAATGGAGTAGCTTCTAAAAATTACAAACTAGAGGGCTATGTTTATGCTTCAATTCTCCACTCAAAGCCAAAACAGAGAAAAAATATGACGGAGACATTTCATCGAACACCATTGACGTGTCACTTTGCACTAAACCAGCTCTATCTCCCGTACAATTACAGAAACAAGAAATTATAACGTTAAACAAAATTAGTTCAATATATAATATTGCACTTTGGAGTAATGGGAATCTATATTTACATAAATACAAAACAAGCACAAACTCATAAGATTGAAGGAAGATAAAAATCAAAGCACAAACAAAAACCAGATACTTGACACGATTATGCAAGCTGGGAAAGTGGGTATTTCCAACGATACAAAAATCAATTTTAAACCAAGATAAACGCATCTAATTCAAGAAAAACATAGAGGGCAGTACGCGAACATTGATAGCAGAAGAAAGATGTATATATATGGACTATTATAAACCTGAATGTCTGAGTGGATAGTTGATGGGGGGAGAGCAAAAGGGTGCATTGAAAGAGAGGTTCTTGCAGTTTATGCGAAGAGGAGAAGCAGCTGAAAAAGCCCGATACGCTCTTCTTAGCATCCACGATGCACTGAAGCTAGTGGCAGCCATAGCCACTAGCAAAAGCCAGCTTTCTTTTTTAAAATGGTGGAACAAAACGTCGCCGTTTCGGGTCAGGCTTCTCTAATTGTTTTTAATTAGTATAAACAATTATACTACACCACCCACTAGGAAAAAAATCATATGCAATTCTAATTATTTTTTGCAAGTAATTAAAAATTAAAAATCATAATCCTTAGGTGCCATTTTTATAAGTAACACTTTGAAAATAAATTTTAAATCTTAGTATAAATAAGAGAAATTGATTTTTTATAATTACCAAAAATAAATTTAGTATCAATATACAAATATGTAACTTGAAGTTTCTTCACTATATCTAATGCATTAAGAACTAAAATGAAAAAATGAGATTCAACTCTTGCTAATGAGAGCTAGTGATATATATTTTCATGGATGTAAAAGAGATTTGCTTTAACATTCCACTTGTTACTTCAGTGTTCAGTGATATACAGAATTTTGTCTTATGTGTATGCGATTATGAGGATGAATTGGGTTTTTACGTGTAGTGTTAGTAAGAAGTTATATGTATATGGGATTATAAGAATGAATTGAGTTATTACAGGCAGTGTTAGTAAGGAGTTATATGTGTATGAGATTATGAGGATGAATTGGGTTATTACGGGTAGCATTGGTAAGAAGTTATATGTGTATGAGATTATGAGGATGAATTGGGTTATTACGGGTAGCATTAGTAAGGAGTTATATGTGTATGAGATTATGAGGATAAACTGGGTTATTACGGGCAGTGTTAGTAAGGAGTTATATGTGTATGGGATTATGAAGATGAATTGGGTTATTACGGGTAGCCTTAGTAAGGAGTTATACGTGTATGAAATTATGAGGATGAATTGGGTTATTACGGGTAGCGTTAGTAAGGAGTTATATGCGTATGGGATTATGAGGATGAATTGGGTTATTACGGGCAGTGTTAATAAGAAGTTATATGTGTATGGAATTATGAGGATGAATTGGATTATTATTGGTAGCGTTAGTAAGAAATTATATGTGTATGAGATTATGAGGATGAATTGGGTTATTACGGGTAGCCTTAGTAAGGAGTTATATGTGTATGAAATTATGATGATGAATTGGGTTATTACGGGTAGCGTTAGTAAGGAGTTATATGCGTATGAGATTATGAGGATGAATTGGGTTATTACGGGCAGTGTTAATAAGAAGTTATATGTGTATGGAATTATGAGGATGAATTGGATTATTATTAGTAGCGTTAGTAAGAAATTATATGTGTATGCGATTATGAGGATGAATTGGGTTATTACGGACAGTGTTAGTAAGGAGTTATATGTGTATGAAATTATGAGGATGAATTGGGTTATTACGAGTAGCGTTAGTAAGGAGTTATATGCGTATGAAATTATGAGGATGAATTGGGTTATTACGGGCAGTGTTAATAAGAAGTTATATGTGTATGGAATTATGAGGATGAATTGGATTATTATTGGTAGCGTTAGTAAGAAATTATATGTGTATGAGATTATGAGGATGAATTGGATTATTACGGGCAGTGTTAGTAAGAAGCTGTAAGCGCGGATTTGTTTATGTAAAAGAATAAAAAAAAATTATTTTTTACTCCGATTTCTATTCTATAAGTTGTTTGAAAAGAGAAAAATATTAAAATTTTCAAATATATTGAAATACAAGTTATAAATATTAAGAATAGATAGTTTCATACTTTTAATTTTACTTTATTAACTCATGACATTAGATTGAAAAGACATTAGAATCGTCATCATGAATCAACTAATCGAACTTATAATTTTGTGCTTTCAGTTAGTACCCTTCTTAATATCTTTATGCATAATAATATTCTTTCTCCTTTTATATCAAAAAAATAATCATAATACTTACTCATGGACATTACTGGCTTTGTGCCCATCTCTATATCTGTACTATAAGAACACAAAAATTACTTAAAAAGCAAGAGCTTCTGATAAAAATTATGATTACAAGTCAAAAACCTGAAAAAGCATCAACCAAGAGAGAAGTATGAAGGTTCTGGCTCAGTAAATATTTCAGGCTAAACTACCAACACCATTATGAGTTTTTCTGTCCATCCCTATTCCCTCCACAGGATGAAAAGAACAAAACTAAACTGAATTTAATCTTGGCACTATAGATCTAGCCACTCTTCCATGCCCATCAACCAGGTAAACCAAAAAACAAAACTAGGAAAAGATTGTCCATAACTCTTCTACTCCATTCTAGTTTTTCGCAATGTTAAAAAAGAAAAGGAGATTCTAGTTTTTGCTTCTTTAGAAAAGGTAGAAGTACACCAGCGCTACAAGCAGCAGGACTACCAAAGTCGCAGGAACAGCCCACACCCAGTAATTAGTTGATCGTTTGCGTTTGAGGATTGCTCTTGGAGGAGCTTCAGGACCTTTCATTCGATTCCTGTACCTAATAGATTTCTCCTTTTGGATTTTCTCCTTCTCAGGTTTGTTCTTCACTGGTGCAGGTACTTCGATATTTTCTTCTATCTTCTCTGGTTCTGAAACCTCGACAGGTGCTTCAGTCGTTTCCTCAGGCATGTTAGCAGCAGCCTTCTTCTTTGCTTTCTTTTCACGCTCCTGAAATAAAGCAAAGGGGAAACTGTGTTACTCCATAACAGCATAACTCCAAACCATCTAGCAAGAAGTCATAATTAATTTATTTATTTAATTAAATCATTTCCTTGAGCTTCTTCTCAGCTTCCTTTTGAGCTCTTATAGCTGCTTTAGCAGCAGCTTTCTCTGCCAACTTCTTTTTTCTTTCCATGGCTATCTTAGCTTTTGCAAGTTCCTCTTCTCTTTTCATCTCCTTCAATTTTGCTGGATCAACTTCCTCAACTACCGGAGAAGGGACAGTGTACTCCTTGTCTGCGATGTCAAAGTCCTCTGAAGTGGATTTAGAATCTGCTACTTTGTTACTGACTTCTTTCTGGACCGTCTTGGCAGGTGATACATCTTGTTGATGAGAGTGCTTAGCATCCTCCTTTGGTCGTTTTACAGTAGGTTTTGGCAATACTTCAGTTTCAGGAGGCAAAGGTGCCTCAAGTACAACCAGTGGTTTCTCATCAGGGTTTCTAATCCGTCCATCCCTGCTCAATTGTCGACTATCTAGTGATGGCAGAATTCTTTTCTCATAGTCATCCCTGAATGTCTTGTTCCCATTCCACAAGGACAGGAACTTCTCAATCTAATCAAGACAACGATTAAAAGTAAAAGATAAGAATGTAGCCAAAAGATTACAATTGTAAAGCGTCTCCACGAAAGTAACTTTTTTCTGAAGGACCAGGAAAGTAATAA